AGAGTTGCCTGAATCTGGGAGGCTGAGGCTGCAGTGAGCCGTGATTGCACCACTGTGCTCCCGCCTGGGTGACAAAGTGAGACTATGTCTCAAAAGAACAATAACAAAACAAACAAAAAACAATTGCTGTAGGTCCGAAATATCGCAGAGAGCTTAGCTATGTGTTCTCTTTCCCCCTGCTGCAATCCACGTGCTGAAGAGGGCTGTGGTCTCATTAGAGACTCATCTGGAGAAAGATCTGCTTCCAAGCTCCCTTGGGCTGCTAGTAAAATTCATTTCTGTTTGGCTTTCTGACTGAGGGCCCCAGAGTCTTACTGGCTGTCATCTGGAAGTGGCCCTCAGCCACACACAGTTCCTTGTTAAGAAGGCTTCCTGGCCAGGCATGATAGCTCACACCTGTAATGCTAACACTGGGAGGCTGAGATGGGAGGATTGCTTGAGCCCAGGAGTCTAAGACCAGCCTGGGCAATATGGCAAAACCCTGTCTCTCCAAAAAAAAAAAGAAAAAAATTTAATTAGCTGGATGTGGTGGCACCTGTGGCCCCAAGCTACTTATGAGGCTGAGACAGGAGAAGCACTTGAGCTCGGAGGTTGGGGCTGCAGTGAGCTGTGACTGCGCTACGGCACTCCAGCCTGAGCCACAGACTGGGACCCTGTCTTTGGGGAAAAAAAAAATCCGCGATGATGGAGTCTAATTAACAGAATGATAACCCATTTCCTTTGCCATATCCCATTGTGGGAAAGGAAGTCACAGATCCCACTATGCTCCAGAAGATCATACAGAAGTGTGGATCACTGGGGGTCAACTCAGGGCCTGTGCACCACAGGGATGGGTTTGGAAATGTAATCCAATGTAAGAATTGCGTTGTCGACCGGGCGCGGTGGCTCAAGCCTGTAATCCCAGCACTTTGGGAGGCCACGGTGAGAGGATCCCTTGACTCCAGGAGTTCCGCACCAGCACGGGCAACATAGGGAGACCCTGTCTCAAAAAAATAAAAAGTAAAAATTAATAAAAGTTAAAAACAAAAATAAGTGGCTGGGCATGATGGCTCACATCTATAATCCCAGCATTTTGGGAGGTTGAGGATTAGAGTCATGATTTTGTTGTTAGGTTGGTATTATTATTATGTTTGACTCAGAAGCAATGAGGGTTAGAGGATCGCCTGAGGTCGGGAGTTTGAGACCAGCCTGACCAACATGGAGAAACCCCATCTCTACTGAAAATACAAAATTAGCCGGGTGTAGTGGCGCACGCCTGTAATCCCAGCTACTCCAAAGGCTGAGGCAGGAGAATCTTTTGAACTCAGGAGGCGGAGGTTCCCGTGAGCCAAGATCGTGCCACTGCACTCCAGCCTGGGCAATAAGAGTGAAACTCCATCACAAAATAAATAAATAAATAAAAATTTAAAAATAATAAATTTCAAAAAAGAATAAGAGGGTTGAGGCTGAGGTGTTTGCAGTTTGTATTCTTTTTTTTTCTTTTTTGAGACGGAGTTTCGCTCTTGTTACCCAGGCTGGAGTGCAATGGCGTGATCTCGGCTCACCGCAACCTCCGCCTCCTGGGTTCAGGCAATTCTCCTGCCTCAGCCTCCCGAGTAGCTGGGATTACAGGCACGCGCCACCGTGCCCAGCTAATTATTTCTATTTTTAGTAGAGACGGGGTTTCACCATGTTGACCAGGATGGTCTCGATCTGTTGACCTCGTGATCCACCCGCCTCGGCCTCCCAAAGTTCTGGGATTACAGGCGTGAGCCACCGCGCCCGGCCGCTGCGGTTTGTATTCTTTATTACTATGTTTAAAAAAAAAACTTACCCCAAAGCATAGCAGCTTGAATTAACAAGCATTTATTCTCTCACATAGTCGATAAGAGTCAGGAAATCGAAAGTGGCTTAGCTAAGGTGGTTCTGGCTCAGTGTCCCTCATCAGGTCATGGTTAAGGTGTCAGCCAGGTGACGGTCATCTGAAGGCTTGACTGGGACTGGAGTATCTGCCTCCGAGATGGCAGCTGCCTGGAGGTCTCAATTCTTCACCACGTGGGCCTCTCCGTAGGTAGCTTGAGTGTCCTCATGACATGGCAGTGGGCATCCCCAGAGTAAGTGACTGAGAAGCAGAGCATGAAGGAAGCCATAGTGTCTTTTGTGACCTCGTTACTTCTACCACATTATTTTCGTTATTAAAAAAAAAGGCTGGACGCAGTGGCTCATGCCTGTAATCTCAGCTCTTCGGGAGGCCAAGGCAGGTGGATCACGAGGTCAGGAATTCAAGACCAGGCTGGCCAACACAGTGAAACCTTGTCTCTGCTAAAAATACAAAAATTAGCTGGGTGTGGTGGTGGATGCCCGTAATCCCAGCTACTTGGGAGGCTGAGGCAGAGAATTGCTTGAACCCAGGAATGGAGGCTGGAGTGAGCTGAGATCGTGCCACTGCATACCAGCCTGGGCAACAGAGGAAGACTCTGTCTCAAAAATAATAATAATAAAAAATAAAAAGAGTCTTGAATGCAGCCCACACTCAAGGGGTGGGGAATTAATCTCCACCTTTTGGAGGAAAGAGTATGAAAGTACTCTTGGATTTTTTTTTTTTTTTTTTTTTTTTGAGATGGGGTTTCACTCTTGTTGCACAGGCTGGAGTGCAAAGATATGATCTCAGCTCACTGCAACCTCCACCTCCTGGGTTCAAGCGATTCTCCTGTCTCAGCCTCCCGAGTAGCTGGGATTACAGTCACACACCATCATGCCTGGCTAATTTTTGTATTTGTAGTAGATACTGGTTTTCATGGTATTGGTCAGGCTCGTCTCAAACTCCTGACCTCAGTTTATCCACCTGCCTTGGCCTCCCAAAGTGCTGGGATTGCAGGTGTGAGTCACTGCACTCGGCCTGTGGACATTTTTAAACCATCACGGAGTTGGCGGTCTGGCTGTGGAGGTCGGGCTGGTAGAGGCTCAGCCATTTAGAATTTTGATTTTGTTGCTGGGTTGGTATTATTGTGTTTGACTCAATGAGGGTTAGAGTCACGGAGTACTGGAACACGGTAGTGGTGGGTTGGATGGCTGGGATTTGGTGGTGACATGTCGGTAGTTGGGCTGGTGGAGATTGGGACGTCGGAGGTGGTGGGAGTAGAGTAAAGGTGTGCTCAATCATCACCACGGGTCCAGTGGAGGCCTGGTGACGGTGGAAACGTCGTCACCACGGGTCCAGTGGAGGCCTGGTGACGGTGGAAATGAGAAGAGCTATCTGCTGGGAATGGTGGAGCTTGGAGTTGGACATTATGTTGGTCGTGTGGTTTTTTTTTTTTTTTTTTTTTTTTTGAGACGGAGTTTCGCTCTTGTTACCCAGGCTGGAGTGCGATGGCGGGATCTCGGCTCATCGCAACCTCTACCTCCTGGGTTCAGGCAATTCTCCTGCCGCAGCCTCCCGAGTAGCTGGGATTACAGGCACGTGCCACCATGCCCAGCTGATTTTTTGTATTTTTAGTAGAGACGGGGTTTCACCATGTTGACCAGGATGGTCTCAATCTCTTGACCTCGTGATCCACCTGCCTCGGCCTCCCAAAGTGCTGGGATTACAGGCTTGAGCCACCGCGCCCGGCCGGTTGTGTGGTTCTAATTGTAGTTGAGTCACTGGGTAGAGTGAGGAGTCGTTGATTGCTGGAATCAAGGCGGCAGTTAGGGTGGTGGGCACTGGCCAGTGTATTTCCTAGTTATGGGAGCTGAATCCACCATTGAGGAAGAGGTTGAAATGGCTGGGGTAGGCTGGGCGCAGTGACTCACGTCTGTAATCCCAGCTCTTTGGGAGGCCAAGGCGGGCAGATCAGGAGGTCAGGAGTTCGAGACTAGTCCGGCCAACATAGTGAAACCCTGTCTCTACTAAAAATACAAAAAATTAGGTGTGGTGATGTGCGCTTGTAATCCCAGCTACTCAGGAGGCTGAGGTCGGAGAATCACATGAACCCGGGAGGCAGAGGTTGCAGTGAGCCGAGATCACGCCATCGCACTCCAGCCTGGGTAACTGTGCAAGACTCCATCTCAAAAAAAAAAAAAAAAATTGGCTGGAGTAGGCCAGGCGCAGTGGCTCACGTCCATAATCCCAGCACTTTGGGAGGCCAAGGTGGGCGAATCATTTGAGGTCAGGAGTTCCAGAACAGCCTGACCCACATGGTAAAACCACAAAACCCCATCTCCACTAAAAAATTAAAAAAAAAAAAAAAATTAGCTGCGTATGGTGGCGCATGCCTGTAGTCCCAGCTACTCCAGAGGCTGAGGTGGGGGGAATCTCTTGAACCCAGAAGGCAGAGATTACAGTGAGCCATGATTAAGCCACTGCACTCCAGCCTGGGTGACAGAGCGACTCTGTCTCAAAAAGAAAAGGCTGGAGTTGGGTAATAAAAATTTCAGTGAGTTCGTTTGGGGATTGTCTTTTTTTTTTGAGATGGAGTCTCTGTCACCCAGGCTGGAATGCAGTGGCATAATCTTGGCTCACTGCAACCTCCAACTCCCTAAAGTGATTCTCCTGCTTCAGCCTCCCAACTAGCTGGGATTACAGGCATATGCCACCACGTCCAACTAACTTTTGTATTTTTAGTAGAGACAGGGTTTCACCATTTTGGCCAGGATGGTCTCGATCTCCTGACCTCGTGGTCTGACCACCTCAGCCTCTCAAACTGCTGGAATTACATGTGTGAGCCACCGCGCCCGGCTTGTTTGGGGATTGTCAATTGAGGTGGCTGGATCTTTAGGTTTGGAAATGGATTTGAGGTAGATGGTGGTGCTGGGGCAGCAGGAATTAGGCTCAGGAGAAATTGTGAGGTTGTGTTTGTTTGGTATGAAAGAAATGGACATGGAGGACTCTAAGCAGGTGTTGCGAGCTGTGGTTGAAGCTGTGACTGCCACTGGGAATCCCCGGCTGGGCCTGGGAATGGATGGGAGCATCTGTCCTCCCCTACCCTGGTCCTCACCTCTTCCACCCCTGCCCTGCCCACGAGCACAGCAGACACCACACACCCAGCTCACACATCTTTATTGGCCTGGATGTGGGGTTGCCAAACAGGCTGCCCTGTCCTGTGCCATCCCAGCGGTGGCCATCGTCACCCTCATTCCCAAGGGGAGGCCAGCTGCCTGCTGGAAGGAGTCAGAGTTCAGGGGATGTCACAGATGTCTTGGAGGCCCCAGTCTGGTGGGAAAGAAATCCACACCTGCGCCTCGAAGCCTCCTCCCTTGAACTTCTGAACCGGCGCTTAAAATGCTGCCCTGCTTGGAACAGGGAGGCCACATCCAGCAGGGCATCCTCAATGTGCTGCCCCAGCCTGTGGGAGTCCTGGAAGAAGAACGGTGTCAGAGCCAGGGGGAGCTGGGAGACGGGATCCTGGAGGCTGAGAAATAAGAGGGCTGGGGGCCTGGACTCCTGGGTCTGAGGGAGGAGGGAGCTGGGGACTAGACTCCTGGGTCTGAGGGAGGAGGGAGCTGGGGCCTGGACTCCTGGGTCTGAGGGAGGAGGGGCTGGGTGCCTGGACTCCTGGTTCCCGAGGAAAGAGGGAGTTGGTGGGTACACACGTTTGTCTCACCGTTTTTGTGCTTGACTTTTTGCTGGAGATGTGGAAGGTGATCATGTCATCCCCCATGAAGATATAAGAAACACCATAACCATGCTCATCAGCCTGGAGTCCGAGAGAGTGAAGGGAAAAAATAGCTCCGCTCCCCTCTTCCCCCACCACGCAGGTGTGCCGGCCCCCAGCCCCTCTTTCCTTAGGGTCTATGGGCCGCACCCCCAGCTCCACTCACAGGCCCGAATCCACCGCCAGAGGAAACATAGTCCGGGTAATTGTGGACGTCAAACAGGTGCATTTGCTGAACAGGGATCTGGCTGGTGGACAGCTGCCACTGCTCCGAATGGACCTGAGGACACGAGACCATCACATGTGCGGGACAGAAATCTGCAGGTCTGGTCCTTGTCCACTTCCCTGGGCCTGTCTCACCCCTAAATCCGGGCAACCTTCTCCCTGACCACGCCCTCATCCTGGCCACGCCCTTCTCTGGCCACACCCCACCCTCTTCTCACCAACCGTCTTTCTCCCCTTCTCACGGACCACGCCCCTTATCTGACCACGCCCCTTCTGCCTATCCGCTGCTCTGACCCTCTCCCCTTCGCTCTGCTCCCTTTGCCTGTCTGCCTTCCGCCTTTCTTGCCCCTGCTCTCCCTGGCTTCTCTGCTGATGCGTCCTTTTTCAACATCACCCTCTTTTTTTTTTTTTTTTTTTTTTTTTTTGAGACAGAGTCTTGCCCTGTCCAGGCTAGAGTGCTGTGGTGCGATCTGGGCTCTCTGCAATCTCCGCCTCCTGGGTTCAAGGAATTCTCCTGCCTCAGCCTCCCAAGTAGCTGGGATTACAGACACCAACCACCTAATGTGGTGGCCCCGCTAATTTTTGTATGTTTAGTAGACACGGGGTTTCACCCTGTTAGCCAGGCTGGTCTCCAACTCCTGACCTCCAGTGATCCGCCCACGTCGGCCTCCCAAAGTGCTGGGATTACAGGCGTGAGCCACCGAGCCCGGCCTTGATGATTCGTCCTTTTTCAACATTGCCCTCCTTTCCTGAAGCCTCTCCCTTCTTCCACAGTCTCCCACCTCCCTCTCTAACCCTTTCCCTGTGCCCCAACCTGGGTCAGGAAGGGCGACTGCAGGTGGAGGAATCGGGACACGATGTAGAGCGCGAAGAGGTGGCGGTCCACTCCCTGCCCGCTCATGGCTGCCTTCAGCAGAGCCTGGTGCTTGTCCACTGCCACGCGCAACAGGGCGAGGCACTGGGGGTCCTGGGGTCCCCAGGTCATGGTCACAGGTCATGGAAAGACAGAAAGTCGACTTAGTGCTGGGCCCGCAGCATACCTGGCCTCAACCCAGCTTGCCACATCCCTGCAAGGTGGAAATATCAACCCCATTTTACAGATGGGGAACTGAGGCTTAGAGAGGGGAAATCATGTGTCCAGGTTCACACAGCCAGGGGAGCCAGGAGGGTTCCTAGGTGTGTCTGGCCCCAGAGCCCAAACTCCTTCCACAGAACCACAATACCTTATAGGTGTGGGGTGAGGGCGCAGAGGTACAGGGCAGGTGGGATCTGGGCAGAGAGGATATGGGAAATGTCACGAAGGAAGGTCACAAGGTCACATAGAGGTTAAATGGACAGAGTTACAGTGCAGAAATGAAGTCCTGGCCAGGCGCTCTGGCTCACGCCTGTAATCCAAGCACTTTGGGAGGCCGAGGCGGGGTGGTGGTGGGGAATTCACCTGAGGTCAGGAATTCAATACCAGCCTGCTCAAAATGGTGAAATCCCATCTCTACAAAAAACTAGCCGGGCATAGTGGCACGAGCCTGTAAATCATAGCTACTCGGGAGGCTGAGGCAGGAAAACTTGAACCTGAGAGATGGAGGTTGCAATAAGCTGAGATCACGCCACTGCACTCCAGCCTGGGTGACAGAGCAAGATTCTATGTCAAAAAAAAAGAAATGGGAAGCCAGGCTCAGTGGCTCATGCCTGTAATCCCAGCACTTTGGGAGGCAGAGGCGGATGGATCATGAGTCAGGAGATCGAGAACATCCTGGCCAGCATGGTGAAACCCCATCTCTACTAAAAATACAAAAAATTAGCCAGGCATGGTGGCACATGCCCATAGTCCCAGCTACTCAGGAGGCTGAGGCAATAGAATTTCTTGAACCCGGGAGGCAGAGGGGTTGCAGTGAGCCTAGATCTCCCCACTGCACTCCAGCCTGGGCAACAGAGAGAGACTTTGTCCCAAAAAAAAAAAAAAAAAAAGAAAGAAAGAAAGAAAGAAAAGAAATGGGGTTCCTTCTTGGGCGCTCTCCCAGTGCCCCACTGAGACCACCATGAAAGCAGATATCGCACTAAGCTGGGCTGTCTCCCCCCGTCAGTGAGCTCTTTGAAGTCATAGGCCAGTTCTGATGCATCCCTTGCCCCTCGTGCCCATCATGGAGCCTGGCTTCAGTAGTTCCCATCAATGTTTGCAAGTGGACGAGTGAGAACACAGAAATGACTGAAGCCTCCAGCGAGGCCTACACCCACTGTCTTCTCTTTGTCCTCCATGGCTCTCACAAAGCTGCAGGCCTCCCTCGTGCAAGACCGCACCGTCTCCGTCCGGCCTTCCAGGAACAAGCGCGTCATGGCCGACTCATAAGTCAGGCAGAATTGACCCCTGTCCTGGGGGACAAGGAGGAGAGGAGGCTTCAGCTGGGCTCAGGAAGTCGTATAGACTTGACCCATCTCTGTCCAGACCTCCAGCCTCCTCAAGCCAGCCCAAGAATGGTTGGGAGAGAGAATTCAAGATGGTAGACCCGCAATGGCAATGTTCACAAGGAGCTATGGAGGGGCAAGTTGTGGGGCTCGGGTGGACCGAGATCCTGAAGGGACTGTGCTTGGGGAAACCAACTGACCCGGAAGTGGGCCAGCTGCAAGGCGATCTGGATGAAGCTGTCTGAAGAGAGGTGGCAGCGTCTGATGAAGCTCTTGCCAAACAGGGAGAATGGAAAGACATGGCAGTCGACATTTTCAGACAAGATCTTGGCTCCCCGCAGGGCTACAGAGATGGAGGAGTGGATCTGCTGGGGCAAGAGGGAAGAGGGGTGGCTGGGGTTACAGATGGGGGTAGCATGAAAGCCAGGAATGAGGCTGGAAGCGAAGGTGGACGTGGAGTTAGGGTTGGGGCAGAATATGGAAATGGGGACAAAGAGAAGAGAACGGAAGGATGAGATTAAAGATGGGGATAGGGCAAGGCGCAGCGACTCACGCCTGTAATCCCAGCACTTTGGGAGGCCAAGACGGGTGGATCACTTGAGGTCAGGAATTCGAGACCAGCCTGGCCAACATGGCAAAACCCCATCTCTACTAAAAATACAAAAAATTAACCAGGTATGGTGATGGACGACTGTAATCCCAGCTACTCGGCGGGCTGAAGCAGGAGAATTGCTTGAAGCCAGGAGGCAGAGATTGCAGTGAGTGGAGATCGTGCCACTGTATTCCAGCCTGGGTAACAAGAGCAAAACTCTATCTCAAAAAAAAAACAAAAAAATGGCTGGGTGCGGTGGCTCATGTCTGTAATCTCAACAATTTGGGAGGTTAAGGTGAGTGGATCACCTGAGGTCAGGCGTTTGAGACCAGCCTAGACTGGTCGGGCGTGGTGGCTCACGCCTGTATTCCAAGCACTTTGGAGGCCAAGGCAGGTGGATCACCTGAGGTCAGGAGTTCAAGACCAGCCTGACCAACATGGTGAAACCCCGTCTTTAAAAAAATACAAAAATTTAGTTAGATGTGCTGGTGGGCACCTGTAATCCCAGTTCCTCGGGAGGCTGAGGCAAGAGAATCACTTGAACCCAGGAGTGGGAGGTTGCAGTGAGCCAAGACGGTACCATTGCACTCCAGGCTGGGCAACAGAGTGGGACTACGTCTCAAAAAAAAAAAAAAGATGGGGATAGGAATGGCAGTGCAGACTGGAACAGGATCACAAGAATGCGGTTGGGCCACAGTTGAAGGTGGGATTGGGGATGGGGATAGAGGTGGAAGTGAGTGGTTTGGAAATGGAACAGGGAAGGGGGTTGGGTATGGAAGTGAAGTTGGGCATGGGTTGTGGTTGGAGGTGGGTTGAGTACAGGACGGGGTTAGAATTGGGTATTGGGTTGGGTATGGGGGGTTGGGGTTGGGGTTGGGTATGGGGAGTTGGGGTTGGGGTTGGGGTTGGGTATGGGGGGTTGGGGTTGGGGTTGGGTATGGGGGTTGGGGTTGGGATTGGGGGTGGGTATGGGGGGTTGGGGTTGGGTATGGGGGGTTGGGGTTAAGTATGAGGGGTTGGGGTTGGGTATGGGGGGTTGGGGTTGGGGTTAGGTTTGGGGTTGGGGTTGGGTATGGGGGATTAGGGTTAAGTATGGGGGTTGGGGTTGGGTACGGGGTTGGGGTTGGGTATGGGATGGAGTTAGGATGAACGTGGGGTTCAGTTGAGGTGTGGTGGTGGTGTTGGGATGGGATTGGCCATGGAGATGAATTTAGAAGGAAAATGGAGTGGGGTTGTTGCTGGGGTCGGACAGTGGTGGTTTTGAGTCTGAAGAGGGTAGAGACGGGGCTGGAGTTGAGGTTGGGATTGCTAGTGGGAGCAGGGTTGGAATTTGGGCTGGGGATGAGGTCAGGGTTGGGGTTAGAGGTGGTGGATGCATTTGGCCTGATTTGGAGGGTGGCGGAAGTGTGGGTTTCAGGTTGTGGGTAGGAATGGGTTTGATTTTCAGGTTGGGGGTGGGGATGAGTTTGGAGTCAACACTAGGAATCTTGGGACTTGGAGGAAAGGCCAGAAACCCAGCCTCACCTGGTCTGGAAGATCCCATTGCAGCCGCTGGGGCTGGGGTAGTGTGGGGTCCGGGTGTCCCTTGCAGTGGCCGTCTGCTGAGTAGCCCAGCTGAAAGCATTCTGTAGCCAGAGTGAACTGTGGGCAAACAGAGGCTGTCAGAGTCCCTTCCGCCCTGTGGACTGAAGCCATCTAACCCAGGACCTTTGTCATACGTCCCTTTTTGGGGGTAGGGGACAGTTCCTGAGAAACAGAAAGCTCTGATGTTCACAGATGGGGCCTCAGGATCATGTTCATCAAGAACAGGACTAATACCAGTACTCAACTGGCGTCTACGGTCCCTGCACTTCCTTCTTTTTTTTTTTGACAGGGTATTACTCTGTCATCCAGGCTGGTGTGCAGTGGTGAAATTATAACTCGCTGCAGCCTCAAACTCCTGGGTTCAAGCCACGCTCCTCCCTCAGCCTCCTGAGTAGCTGGAACCACAGGCATGTACCACCATGCCTGGCTAGTTTTTGCTTTTTTTTTTTTTTTTGAAACAGAGTCTCAGGCTGGGCTGGTGGCTCATGCCTGTAATCCTAGCACTTTGAGAGACCGAGGCGGGAGGATCACTTGAGGTCAGAAGTTCAAAATCGGCCTGGCCAACATGGTGAAACCCCATCTCTCAAAAATTTAAAAAAAAAAAAAAAAAAAAAATTAGCTGGGCGTGGTAGCGCACGCCTGTAGTCCCAGCTACTCGGGAGGCTAAGGCAGGAGAATTGCTTGAACCCAAAAGGCAGAGATTGCAGTGAGCTGAGATCGAGCCCTTGCACTACAGCCTGGGCAAGAGTGTGACTCTGTCTCAAAAAAAAATTAATAATAATAATAATAAAAAGAAACAGAGTCTTGCTCTGGAGTCTTGGGTGGAGTGCAATGGCGTGGTCTCAGCTCACTGCCACCTCTGCTTCCCAGGTTCAAGTGATTCTGCCTCAGCCTCTGGAGTAGCTGGGATTACAGATGCCTGCTACCACACCAGCTAATTTTTTTTGTGTGTGTATTTTTAGTAGAGACAGGGTTTCACCATGTCGACCAGGCTGATCTTGAACTCCTGGACCTTGTGATCCATCCACCTTGGCCTCCCAAAGTGTTGGGATCACAGGCATGAGCCACTGTGCCCAGCCTGGAGTCATCTTCTTGCTCTGTAACTCCTCAATGTGTGACTCTGGGAAAATCACACATCTGGGGAAATCTGAGCCCCATTTACCAGCTCATCAAAAGGAAATCCTCATCCTACACCCCTTTCTTCGCCTGGTGACCCTGGGCCAACCTCTGCCTCTCCCTGAACCTCAGTTTCGTTTTTCTTTTCTGACCCTAAGGCCCTGGAGAGGACAGTCTTCAAAGATAGGGCAGGGGTCCCCAGAACCAGGGGGTGCTGGCCACCCTACCTCCCACATGTGTCCTGAGATGGGGCAGTCGGCCCAGGAGTGCTCCACGCTGAGCCCCAGCTTCCCATTGGAGAAGACGATTAGGGTGAAGGATTTGTCAAACCAGCTGTCGGGGAGAGTTCAGAGGGGTCACCAAGAGAATGGGGCAGGGGGAACTCGGGGTGCTTTCTGAGGGACTTGAGGGAGTTTTCTAGATGGGGAGATGTGGGGAGCCATTAGGTGCTGGTGTGGGGATCTCCACTGAGGGGCCCCAGTAGTGGCTCTGGAGGTCTCCAAAACATGTCTGGGATTTAGAGTTTGGAGATTTTTTTTCTGTCTTTTTTTTTTCGAGATGGAGTTTCACTCTTGTCGCCCAGGCTGGAGTGTAGTGGCGATATCTCTGCTTACTGTAACCTCTGCCTCCTGAGTAGCTGAGGGTTCAAGTGATTCTCCTGCCTCAGCCTCTCAAGTAGCTGGGATCACAGGCAAACACCACCATGGCCAGCTAATTTTTGCTTTTTGCTTTTTTGAGATGGAGTCTTGCTCTATTGCCCAGGCTGGAGTGCAATGGCATGATCTTGGCTCACTGCAACCTCTACCTCCTGGGTTCAAGAGATTCTCCTGCCTCAGCCTCCTGAATAGCTGGAACTACAGGTGCCCACCACCACACCTGGCTAGTTATATTTTTAGTAGAGATGAGGTTTCACCATACTGACCAGGCTGGTCTCAAACTCCTGACCTTGTGATCTTCCCACCTTGGCCTCTCAAGGATTATAGGCATGAGCCACCTTGCCCGGCCTAATTTTGGTATTTTTAGTAGAGACAAGATTTCACCATATTGGTTGGGTCGGTCTTGAACTCCTTACCCCAGATGATCTGCCCCTCTCAGCCTCCCAATGTGTTAGGATTACAGGCGTGAGCCATCACGCCCGGTCTAGAGTTTGGACATTTTTAGGGAATTTGCTGAGGAAGGTTCAAGGCTTTTGGGGGTGTTGGGAAGTCAACGGGACTGCCCTGGGCCTTGGAATTCAGTGCCTGCCAGGCCTGAGAATCTCTAGGTCTGGAAGTCAGGGCCTAGGGCCCTGGGTTGGGTACCTGCATGAAGGCCTGAGGACTGAATGGTCCAAGTTCTGAGGCTGAGGTTGCCAAGTCTGGGGTGCCGGGGCCTAGGAGTCCTGGGTTTGGTGGTCCTCAGGTCTGGGGTCCCTGGGTCTGGGAGGCTGAGTGTGGGTTCTGAACCTGGGGTCCCAGGTTGAGAGGTTCTCTGGGTCTGAGGGTTTAGCTCAGGGTTTTGGGAGTCTCAGATTTGGGGGTCACTGTGTCTGGGTTACAGGTCATGCATCCCAGATCGAGGGGTTCCCCAAGTCAGAGGTCTCCAGGTTCCAAAGCACTGGGTCTGGGGTCCTCAGCTCTCTGCAGGTATGGGCTCCCAGGTCTGGCTATCTATCACTGGGGGTCCTAGGTCTCATACTGGATTCTGGGGTGCCACGTCTGGGGGCCCCATCCCACAACTGACTCACCGGTCATGGCCCCGGCCGGCCAGCAGGGCATGGGCATAGGCATCCAATGACGCCGCTGGGTCCTCCCTGGTGAGACCCGCGGGCTCAGCGTCCAGTGACACAAAGAAAGCGGCCCCTTCCACCACCTCCAGGGCCTCTGCCGCCTGGGTCTTCAGGGACGTCCGCACCTGGGCCCACGTGTCCCTGGAGGGCCCGACATGTGCCTGAGTCCACCCTACCCAGCCACCACCCGGCCCCACCCCTGCCCTTCCACAGCTGCAGGACACTGGTGACCTCTGAGAGCCCCTGACCCCTGACCCCTACCTGGGAGCAGCAGTCAGAGCGGCCAGATGTTCCTCGTGGGGGCAGGCCGGTGACGGATCATCCAGGATTCGCTGAAACTGCTGCTCCAGGGCCCTCGGGGAAAGCAGGCTGTTTCGGGAGTGGGTCCCCACGCGGAAGAATCGGCCTCGGTGGAAGACAGCCACGTGCTGGCTGTCGTGGAGGTGACGGATGTGGTCTAGGGGTGGCGTTGGCAGAAGCATAGGGGCAGGAAGGCCAGCCACAGAAGGATAATGACCTTTTCTTTTTTTTGAGTCAGGGTCTCGCTCTGTTGCCCGGGCTGGAAGGCAGTGGCGCAATCTTGGCTCACTGCAACCTCCGCCCTCCGGGTTCAAGCGATTCTCCTTTCTCAGCCTCATGAGTAGCTGGGATTACAGACACCCGCCACCACACCTGTCTAATTTTTGTATTTTTAGTAGAGATGGGGTTTCAGCATGTTGGCCAAGCTGGTCTCAAACTCCTAACCTCATGATCGCCTGCCTCAGCCTCCCAATGTGCTGGGATTACAGGCGTGAGCCACCAAATAACAATCACTTATTACATACTTCTTAGGTGCTGACAACTGTTCAGAGCACCCTAGGATGTTTATTTACTTATTTTTTGGAGACAGAGTCTCACTCTGTCATCCAGGCTGGAGTGCAGTGGCGCAATCTCGGCTCACTGCAGCCACACCCTCCCGGGCTCAGGTGACCCTTCCACTTCAGGCTCCCAAGTAGCTGGACCCTCAGGCACATACCACCATACCTGACTAATTTTTCAATTTTATTATAGACTGGATCTCATTACGTTGCCCTAGGCTGGTCTTGAACTCCTGGCCTAAACAATCCTCCTCCTTGCCCCCCGACCACAGTGCTGGGATTATAGGTGTGAGTCACTGTGCCCACCCCCAGGTACCATTATTATCCTGCTTTAGTGAAAGCTGAGGCTCAGAGAGGGTAATAATGTGCAGAAGGTCACACAGCAAGGAAGTGATGGATCCTAACTCAGGCAGGTGGACTCCAGAAAGCATGCTCTTAGCCACTATATTGTTCTCCCTCCACCAGTGGGGATGGGAAGAGTCTCACCTTTTTGGACCCCTGGAATCCGCGTGGTGTTGAAGATCTTCTCGTACTGGGCAGAGCATAAGGGACGCATTCCCATCAGCAAAGTCTGCAGGAAACCATGGGCTGTGAGCTGCCTTCCAGGACCCACGTGGCCCAAAGGCCACAGGACCACAGCTCCACCCTAGCCCACTGGGCCCCTCTTACCGGGGGGATCTCCTGGCGGTTTAGGCGGTGGCGGTACAGGAGGAGGGCATGGATGGCATTTCCAGCGCGAGCTGCCTGCAGAGGCGTGGGTGTGACATACAGGAAGTCCTGGGGACCAGCAGAGGGGACAGCAAAATGCCCGTGGTCAGGTTTGCCCCAACAGGGCCCCTGACCCAAACACAGATCCTGACCCCAAAAGAGGGCGGAATGACGAATCCCGGCCTGTGTATCCAGATCCAGGTCACTGAGCATGAACGTCATATTCCACCCAGGTACCCCAACCCCAGACCCGGGGCCTAGAACCCTCACCCTGCTCCAGAGCCCCTCCCCTTCTCACCATCATGTAGTAGTTGCTGTTCACCATCAGCGGGTTTCGGGAGCGCAGGTACACAAATTCCTCCCACCAGTCGCTGACCTGGGAGCAGGGTAGGAAGACACAGTGAGGGGGGAGGGGCAGCAGGACAGGGAAGCCCCCAGATGTTCCTGTGTCAGGCAGGGAGGATAGAGCCAAAGAAGCCAGCCATATTGTGGTCAGGAACTAGCAACCACCTAGAAATCCAGCCCCGGGGTTCAGTCAGCTAAACCCTGTTACACTCTGGCAGCGGAGTATCGCACAGCTGTTGGAGAGAACAAGGTGCAACCAGGTGCGGTGGCTCACGCCTGTAATCCCAGCACTCTGGGAGGCTGAGGTGGGCAGATCACCCGAGGTCAGGAGTTCAAGACCAGCCTGACCAACATGATGAAATTGTGTCTCTACTAAAAATACAATAATTAGCCAGGCGTGGTGGTGTGTGCCTGTAATCCCAGCTCCTTGGGAGGCTGAGGCAGGAGAATCACTTGAACCTGGGAGGCGGAGGTGGCAGTGAGCTGAGATTACATCACTGCACTCCAGCCTGGGCGACAAGAGTGAAATTTCATCCAAAAAAAAAATAGGGATGGGCGAGGTAGCTCACACCTGTAATCCCAGCACTTTGGGAGGCTGAGGCAGGAGAATCACCTGAGGTCAGGAGTTTGAGACCAGCCTGGCCAACATGGTGAAACCCTGTTTCTACTAAAAGTACAAAAATTAGCCAGGTGTGGTGGTAGGCACCGGTAATTCCAGCTACTTAGGAGGCTGAGGCAGGAGAATCGCTTGAACCTGGGAGGCAGAGGTTGCAGTGAGCCAAGATCACACCACTGCACTCCAACCTGGGCAACAAGAGCAAAACTCCACCTCAAAAAAAAAAAAAAAAAAAAGAAAGAAAAATAAACAGAACATAAATGCGAAATTTACAAAACAATAAATATGTGAAATAATATATATGTATAAATACATGAAATTTTTTACCTTGCCAATATCATAGTAAAAGTCAAACAATGAAAAACACAACTGAAAGCACTGTGATAAGACTTTAGCTGGCCTTGTAGGGTTTTTTTTTCTTGTACATAAAATAATAATGTGTGTTATTACTGGCAGTTGGCCTGGAGGTACAATAAAATATACAGGCCAGGTGCAGTGGCTCACGCTTGTTACCCCAGCATTTTGGGAGGCTGAGGTGGGAGGATAGCTTGAACCCAGGAGTTTGAGACCAGCCTGGGCAATAGCAAGACCCCATCTCTACAAAAAAGCTTAAAAATTAGCTGGGCTTGGAAGGGTGAGGTGGGAGGACAGCTTCAGCCTGGGAGGTCAAGGTTGCAGCGAGCCGTGATCATGCCACTGCCCTCTAGCCTGGGTGACAGAGTGAGACTCCCTTCCAAGAAAGAAGAAGGAAAGAAAGAAAGAAGCAGAGAGAAAGAGAGAGGGAAAAAAGAGAGAGGAAGGAAGGTAGGAAAAGAAAGGAAAGGAAAGAAGGAAGGAAAGGGAAGGAAGGAAGGAAATGAAAGGAAGAAAGGGAAGGAGGAATGGAGGGAATGAGGGAGGAAGGCAGGAAGAAAGGAAGGAAGGGAGGGAAGGAAGAGGGAGGGAGGGAGGAGGGAGGGAAAGAAGGGAAGAATGAAATGTGTGTGTGTGTGTAAACAGAATCTTGTCCAAAAGCGTGCAGAAAAAAAAAATTAACTAGAAAAGCAAGGCCCACATTCCCTTCTACTTCTCCAGACATTTCGTCCCTTTCCTCAGGTTTGACCACCTGACCTTCCCATGTTGGTGCCCGCTGGGGCTCTACCGAAGACCCTCTTCCCTGCCCCTCTCATTCTCAAATCAGGTTTTCTCATCCAAGCCCAGTGTCTCACTGACCTACAATGGTAGGGCTCACAGTGACTTCCTCTCCAGCCTTCCACCCTCCAGTCTTTCCCCCACACCAGAGCTGACCCTGCCCCTTCCCGGCTCCAAACCCTCCCGTGCCTCCCTAGGACGCCCAGGATGGAGTCCGGGACCCTCAGTCTGGAGTTCAGGTCTCTCCCGCCACTCTTCACTCTTCAACTCCTTCGTTCTTTTTGCTTTGTTTTGAGGGAGTCTCACTCTGTCATCCGGGCTGTAGTGGCATGACCTTGGCTCACTGCAACCACCTCCCAGGTTTAAGCGATTCTCTGCCTCTTAAGTAGATAGGATTACAGCCACATGTCAGCACACCTGGCTAATTTTTATATTTTTGGTAGAGACAAGGTTTCACCGTGTTGACCAGGGTGGTCTCAAACTCCTGACCTCATGTGATCTGCCCACCTCGGCCTCCCAAAATGATGGGATTACAGCATGAGCCACGTCGCCAGGCCTAGCTCTGGAATTCTCGTTCAAACTTTGGAAGATGTGGGTGGAGCTCAGAAAATTGGAGCATCTATACCCTAAACCTCAGTGTTAAGTATATACGGCTGGGTGTGGTGGCTCATGCCCGTAATCTCACCACTTTGGGAAGCTGAGGCGGGCAAATCATGAGGTCAGGAGTTTGAGACCAGCCTGGCCAACATGGTGAAACCCTGTCTTTACCAAAAATACAAAAAAATTAACCAGCTGTGGTGGTGCATGCCTGCAGTCCCAGCTGGTCCGGAGGCTGAGGCAGGAGAATCGCTTGAACCGGGGAGGCAAAGGTTGCAGTGAGCCAAGATCGAACCACTGCACTCAAGCCTGGGCGATAGAGTAAGACTCTGTCTCAAAAATATATATATATAGGCTGGGCACGGTGGCTCACACCTGTAATCCTAGCACTTTGGGAGGCTGAGCCAAGTGGATCATGTGAGGTCAGGAGTTCGAGACCAGCCTGGCCAACATGGTGAAACCCCGTCTCTACCAACAATACAAAAAATTAACCGGGTGTGGTTGCACGTGCCTGTAGTCCCAGCTGTTTGGGAGGCTGAGGCAGGAGAACTGCTTGAACCCGGGAGGCAAAGACTGCAGTGAGCCGAGATTTCGCCACTGTACTCTAGCCTGGGCAACAGAGGGAGACTCTGTCTCCAAAAAAAAAAAAAAAAAAAATTAGGCCGGGCGCGGTGGCTCAAGCCTGTAATCCCAGCACTTCGGGAAGCCGAGGTGGGTGGATCACGAGGTCAAGAGATCGAGACCATCCTGGTCAACATGGTGAAACCCCGTCTCTACTAAAAAAATATATAAAAAATTAGCTGGGCATGGTGGCGCGTGCCTGTAATCCCAGCTACTCAGGAAGCTGAGGCAGGAGAATTGCCTGAACCCAGGAGGCGGAGATTGCGGTGAGCCGAGATCGCGCCATTGCACTCCAGCCTGGGTAACAAGAGCAAAACTCCATCTAAAAAAAAAAAAAATTAATATATATACACAAATATATATAAATGTAAATTTATATAATAAATATATATTATGAGCATATGTATTTATTATAAAATATAATATATATAAATATATGTATATATAAGCATAAATAAATATATATATTTATTGTTGAGGTTCGGGTATAGATGTATGTGAGCGGGGGCTTAGTGTATTGGCCCCGAGGCCAGGCCCAGGATGGGGACTTGGGGCCATCCTCCAATCGCGACAGGGGGCGCGTGGGTTGCGGGCGCGTTGTGGGGCGCAGACCTCGCAAGTTCAGCAAGGCGAGCTCACACCCTTGGCCTTTCAGGTGGGGCCTTGGTGGCGGTGGCGGGACTCACATAGTTGGACGCCCACCAGGACTTGAGTCGCAGGTGCCACTGCAGCAACGACGCCTGCAGCCTCAGGAATTCCTGCGCCAGGACCGCGGTCCAGTCGAAGTCCTCGTCGGAGAGGACCGGCCGGACCGACTCCAGGTACTGGAGGGGAGAAGAGGGCAGGTCACGCCCCGCCCACCCGCGCGCAGTTTCGCCCCGCCCACCCGCGCGCAGTTTCGCCCCGCCCACCCCGCACGCCCCGCCCACCTTGCGCACAGTGTCATGCACGGAGGGCACCGGCTGGCGCGGCAGGGAGCGCTGGTAACTGAAGAGCATAGGGTGGCGGCCGGAGAAGATGCGGACCAGGGCCTGGGGAAGAGGAGTCACAGGGTCATTAAACCCTCACCGGGGCCAGAGAGTTGAGGGGAGCAGGGTCGACAGTGGGACAGAAACCCAAAGAGAAGGACACAGAGACTGAGACGGAGCATCAGCGACCCTGAGAGAAAAGGGGACAGAGACCCAGAAACAGGGGACAGAGACCCAGAGAGAGGAGGACAGATACCCACAGAGAGAGGAGGACAGAGAAGCGGGTCTTTAATATCCCAGGAAAGCCAGAGCAGGGCTGTGCCCCTCCCATACCAGCCAGGTCTTGGTGGGAGAGGACATGGCTCCATGGGGCTCAAGAAGCCAGCCGTGGTAGGACAGAAGCAGCCTCAGGGCCACGTGCAGCGTGAAGATCAGGGCTCCCCACAAACACGAGGCAAACAGCGCAGCTGCCAGGACCCCCCGGAGCCCGTGGTGCTGCCCACCCCTGCGGGGAGAGAAAGAGAGGCTGGGCCTGGGTCTCCTGGCCTCAGAAGCTCCCTCCCTTCTAGCCCTCTCCAGCCCCCTTCAGCCCCTGCCCTGGTCTTTTGGCTGTCAGATAGAGAAGCCCATTTTTTGTCATCTGTAAAGTAGGAGCTCTGTGACCCCCTCCGGCTCCTTCCATTGTGGCAGCACCAAGCTTCCAAAGTCACTTTCCATGGAAACTGGTAGGTGCTTAATAAATGACAGCCATTATTTCTATTGAGAGGACACTTTTTCCTCCCAGCTATCACAATAGTTCTAAAACGGTGGCTCCTGGGAGCAGCGCCTGGGAGCTTGTTGGAAATGCATATTCCTGGGCCCCTGTGAGACCTAACGAGCCAGAATCTCTCCGGGTGGGGTCCACCAATCAGCATTTTAATATCCCATCCAGGTGAGTCCAATGCAAGTTCAAGTTTAGGAAAAGCTGGTCCAACGCTACATGAAATCAACACGTTTGTTTGCAAAGTTTGCAGATGTCACCTGGAGAACCTGGGTCAAATCACTTTCCCTCTGTAGACTGTGTAAAATCTAGCCTTCCTGGAATTTTTTTTTTTTTTTTTTAAGATGGAGTCTTGCTCTGTCGCCAGGCTGGAGTGCAATGGTGCAATCTTAGCTCACTGCAACCTCTGCCACCTGGGTTCAAGCGATTCTCCTGCCTCAGCCTCCCAAGTAGCTGGGACTACAGGTGCCTGCCACCACGCCCAGCTAATTTCTGTATTTTTAGTAGAGACGAGGTTTCACCATCTTGGCCAGGCTGGTCTCAAACTCCTGACCTTGTGATCTGCCTGCCTAGGCCTCCCAAAGTGCTGGGATTACAGGCATGAGCCACTGTGCCAGGCTTTTTTTTCTTTTTTGGAGAGATGGGGTCTCACTATGTTGCCCAGGCTGCTCTCGAACTTCTGAGCTCAAGCCTCCTGCCTCAGTCTTCCGAAGTGCTGGGATTACAAGTGTGAGCCATGGTGCCCGGCCTCCCTCTTGGAAATGTCTACATCTGATCCTGGGCCTGTCCTTTGGGGCCATCTGCACAAAATCTGGATCTTCAGCCACTCCCATGAATAACTCCTGCACTCCACTGACTCTCAGGCATGATTTTCATGAATTCTTCCAGCACTCTAAGAAGCAATTATTCATACCCCCACTTACAGATGTAGGCCTTGACAATCAAGAATGGTGGGGTCTCCTGCCTAAAACTACATAACTAGAGATGGGCAAAGCTCATACTTTTTTTTTTTTTTGAGACAGAGTCTTGCTCTGTCACCAGGCTGCAGTGCAGTGGCGAGATCTCATCTCACTGCAACCTCTGCCTCCTGGATTCAAGTGATTCTCCTGCCTCAGCCTCCCAGGTAGCTGGGACTGCAGGGGCGCACCACCACACCCCTGCTAATTTTTGCATTTTTAGTAGAGACGGGGTTTCACCATGTTGTCCAGATTGGTCTCAAACTCCTGTCCTCAGGTGATCCACCCGCCCTGGCCTCCCAAAGTGCTGGGATTACAGGCGTGAGTCACCGTGCCCAGCCTTTTTTCTTGATACAGAGGTTGCCCAGGCTGGAGTGCAGTGGCTCGATCTCAGCTCACTGCAGCCTTGACCTCCCGGGCTCAGGTGATTCTCCCACCTCAGCCTCCTGGGTAGCTGGCACCACAGGTGAGAGAGCTACCGCACCCAGCTAATTTTTTGTATTTTTAGTAGAGATGTGTTTTCACCACATTGCTCAGGTTGGTCTCAAACTCCTGGGCTCAAGAGATCCTCCCACCTTGGCCTCCCAAAGTGCTGAAATTATGGGCTTGAGCCACTGTACCCAGCAAAGCTCACAATTTTTTTTTTTTTTTTTGAGACAGTGTTGTGCTCTGCCTCCCAAGCTGGGGTGCTATCTGGGCTCCCTGCAACCTCTGCCTCCTGGATTCAAGCAATTCTCCTGCTCCTCCCCAAGTAGCTGTGATTACAGGCACACACCATCATGCCCAGCTAATTTTTATATTTTTAGTAGAGTCAAGTTTCCACCATGTTGGCCAGGCTGGTCTCAAACTCCTGACCCCAAGTGATCCGCCCACCTTGGCCCCCCAAACTGCTGGGACTACAGGCGTGAGCCACCGCACCTGGCTTCACCTCCCTTTTCTTCGTGCTATACCTTTATTAATCTGACCCAAAATAAGTCTCAGAGGTTATTTTTTTGTTAGCGGGTACCCAGTGACAGAGAAACTTACTGGGTGGAGGGAGAACGACTAGGGGCTACTGGGCTGAAGTGGGGGGAACCTCACCAGTCGGGGAGCAACTCTTTGATCTTCTCCATCAGTCCCAAGGAAGGGTCCAGCTGGAGGAACCAAGCAAGCTGGATGGCACTGAAGAGGAAAAGCCAGCTGAGGGGGCTGGCAGGGAACACACCGGTGAGAAAGTCATTCTGTGGGAGGAAAGGGCATCCATTCAATCACCTGCCCTCTCCTCTCAGCACCTGTTCTGTGCCATCCTCAGACACTGTTGACCACCCAGTGTGTGCTGAGCCCTGAGCTGGAGGCTCAAGATCCAGTGGGGACAGGGAGACCCGGGCCCTGCCCTCAGGGAGGTCAGTCCGGAATGAAGTAAGGTTACTTATTTATTTACTTATTTTGAGATGGAGTTTTGTTCTTGTTGCCCAGGCTGGAGTGCAGTGGCGTGATCTCGGCTCACTGCAACCTCCGCCTCCCGGGTTCAAGCGATTCTCCTGCCTCAGCCTCCAGAGTAGCTGGGATTACAGGCATGCACCACCACACCCAGCTAATTTTGTATTTTTAATGGAGATGGGGTTTCTCCATGTTGCTCAGGCTGGTCTCGAAATCCTGACCTCAGGTGATCTGTGTGCCTCAGCCTCCCAAAGTGCTGGGATTATAGGCATGAGCCCCTGAGCCTGGCCAGTAAGTATTAATTGCTGTAGGAGGAACTGTGAGCTGGCAAGTTACAGTTCGAAGGCATGAGGGAGGGCTCCCTGGAGGAGGATATTCTCAGGCAGGATCTCGAAGGGGAGATTGTCGAAGGCAGAACAGGCCGGGCATGGTGGCTCACTCCTGTAAACTCAGAACGTTGGGAGGTCAAGGAGGAGGACGCTTGAGCGCAACAGTTCAAGAGCAGTGTGGGCTCATGCCTGTAATCCCAGCACTTTGGGAGGCCGAGGCAGGTGGATCATGAGGTCAAGAGATCGAGACCATCCTGGCCAACATGGTGAAACTCTGTCTCTACTAAAAATACAAAATTTAGCTGGGCGTGGTGACAATCACCTGTAGTCCTGGCTACTCGGGAGGCTGAGGCGGGAGCATCACTTGAATGCGGGAGCTGGAGGTTGCAGTGAGCCAAGATCATGCCACTGCACTCCAGCTTGGCGACAGAGTGAGACTCTGTCTCCAAAAAAATAAAAATTAGCCAGGCATGGTGGCGGGCACCTGTAATCCCAGCTACTCAGGAGGCTGAGACACAAGAATGACTTGAGCCTGGGAGGCAGAGGTCGCAGTGATTCGAGATCACACTACTGCTCTCCAGCCTGGGTGACAGAGAAAGACTCTGTCTTAAAAAAAAAAAAAATTGGCCAGGAGCGGTGGCACACACCTGTAGTCCCAGCTACTTGGAAGGCTGAAGCAGGGGGATCGCTCGAGCCCAGGAGTTCAAGGCTGAAGTGAGCTGTAATAGCGACACTGCACTCCAGCCTGGGTAACAAAGATCCTGTCTCAATTGAAAAAAAAAAAAAAAAAGCAAAACGATCCCTGTTCAGAGCAGGGGCTGGAGCTAAGTAAGGGCTTCTAGAAGTCCCAGGTCACGGAATGAATGAGGAATGAACAAGACACAGGGTTACTAACTACACTCCTCTGGAAGCCTGAGAGAGATGACCAACGTTTAATGAACACTTACTACGTTCCAGGTGCCATTTACAAGGATTAACTCTTTAAATCCTCCCCAAACCATGTGAAGTACTAAGATGAAAACACTTGGGTTCAGCCAGGTACAGTAGCCCATGCCTGTAATCCCAGCACTTCAGAGGCCAAGGCGGCAGATCACCTGAGGTCAGGAGTTCAAGACCAGCCTGGCCAACACGGTCAAACCCCATCTCTATTAAAAATACAAAAATTAGCCAGACATGGTGGTGAGCACCTATAATCCCAGCTACTCAGGAGGTTGAGGCAGAAGAATCGCTTGAACCGCGAGGCGGAGGTTGCAGTGAGCTGAGATTGTGCCATTGCACTTCAGCCTGGGTGACAGAGTGAGACTCAGTTTCAAAAAAAACACTGGGGTTCAAGGTCACACAGAGAACATGGTTAAGACAGGGGGTGGTGGCTCACGCCTATAATCCCACCAAATCAGGAAGCTAAGGCAGGAGGATTACTTGAGCCCAAGGGTTCCAGACCAGCCTGAGGAACATGGCAAGACCCCATCTCTTAAACAACAATTGGCCGGGCGCGGTGGCTCACGCCTGTAATCCCAGCACTTTGGAAGGTCAAGGTGGGTGAATCACGAGTTCAGGAGATCCAGACCATCATGGCTAGCATGGTGAAACCCCGTGTCTACTAAAACATACAAAAAAATTAGCTGGGCATGGTGGTGCACACCTGTAGTCACAGCTACTTGGGAGGCTGAGGCAGGAGAATTGTTTGAACCTGGGAGGCAGAAGTTGCAGTGAGCCGAGATTGTGCCACTGTACTCCAGCTTGTCGGCAAATTGAGACCCCCATCTCAAAAAAAAAAAAATTAGCTGGCTATAGTGGTGTAGTCTACTATAGCTGGTATAGTGCCTGTAGTCCCAGCTACTTGGGAGGCCAAGATGGTTAAGCCCATGAGGCCAAGGCTGCAGTGAGCCATGATTGTCCCACAGCACTGCAGCCTGGGAGACAGAGCCTGCCTCAAATAAATAAATAAATAAATAAAAACAAAAAGAGGCTGGGCACGGTGGCCTGTACTTCCAGCACTTTGGGAGGCCGAGACAAGCCGATCACTTGAGGTTAAGAGCTCAAGACCAGCCTGGCCAACAGGCTGAAACACTGTCTCTACAAAAATACAAAAATTAGCCGGGCATGATGGTGTGTAGTCCCAGCTACTCGGAGGCTGAGGCAGGAGAATTGCTTGAACCTGGAGGAGGGTTCAGCCAGGTACAGTAGCCCATGCCTGTGAACCGAGTGCAAAAAGTGAACAGAGGTTCTCAGTCGGTGTGGATCCCAGAAGTGAGCTACGGAGAAACAGCTAAACGGGTTCTGGAATCAGACATCAAAATTCCCCTAAAAGTGTGATAGGCTCCCAGAAATGGACCAACTGAAATGCCGGAAGTGAGCCTCAGACATCCCGGAAGCAGAAACCTGGATCCCCGGAAGGAAACCAACGAGCAGCATTCCTCACCCAGAAACGTGAGAGATGCCTTTTCCAGGAGCGCAGGCCAGAGAGGTAGATCTCCTGCAGCACAGGGGCACTGAGTTCCACTTCGGCCCCGTCCGAGGTCAGCGAGGGTCGGAAGTCCACGGCCTGGTGCGCTTCTGCCATTTTACGCTGGAGCCCTGGGTGTCCGGCAGAGCCATTCTTCAGGCCTCTAGCCCCTCCTCCCTCAGACCCAGGGGTCCAAGCCCCAGCCCCTCCTCCCTCAGACCCGGCAGTCCAGGCCCCAGCCCCTCCTCCCTCAGACCCGGCAGTCCAGGCCCCAGCCCCTCCTCCCTCAGACCCGGCAGTCCAGGCCCCAGCCCCTCCTCCCTCAGACCCGGCAGTCCAGGCCCCAGCCCCTCCTCCCTCAGACCCGGCAGTCCAGGCCCCAGCCCCTCCTCCCTCAGACCCGGCAGTCCAGGCCCCAGCCCCTCCTCCCTCAGACCCGGCAGTCCAGGCCCCAGCCCCTCCTCTCTCAGCCCCAGGATCCCTCGCCTTCAGCCGCCTCCTGGCGCGCCGACCCAGGACTGCATAACCTAGCTCATCCTTCTCTAAGCACCTGAGGGGTTTTGAGGGTTCTGCTTTGTAGACCTAGAGGTTTTGCGGGAAGGACGTCAATTGGGGGCCTCTGTGAACGCGTGGAGAGGCTAGAGGGACAGCTTACGTGAACTCCTCCTTTACCTGCTCTGCCAAGAACACGGTGCGGGGGCATTGCCCTCCCCCTCCCCGTACAGGACTCTCGAGATTCGGGGGTCGGGGGTGGAGGAGGGAAACCGGCTCAGGGTGAGTTTTGGGGTCTTAAAAAAAACATTAGTTTTAGACCCATAAGAAACAAACTCCTGTTAGACATTGACGGTGTCCACCCCATTTCCGCTTCTCATGCCAAGGCGAGGGGGGTGGTATCTATAAATCCATCCGCTCTGGGGTGGCCCAGCGTCCCCTCCCCCGCCCGGGCTGGAGGGGCTGGGGAAGGAAGCACCCACTGCGCATGCCTCGCAGCCTGGGATGCTGAGGCTGTGAGCGGAGGCGAGCGTCGAGGACAGGTGATGGAGAGGCTTGCACGCGCAACCCTAGACGCAGGCCTCCAGCCCCGGCAGGAGCCCGGGCCCCTGGGGTCCAGCACTTACCACGTTGAATCAGGGGTCCGCCGGCCGGATCCTGGGAGCCAAACCCGAGTCCACCCCCGCCCCCCAATTTTCAGTGCCGGCCCCAAATCTCCCGCTTGCATATGTCCAATCCCGGTGCAAGGAGTCCGGGTCGACAGGCCTTTGGAGTCCTGCCCACCCGTAGATCACCGTCACCCAGAAACCCCGATTCCTGTCTCGCGTGTCCCTAGCCGGGTATTCGGGTCCCGGGTTTTATCCCCGCCTCCTTCCAATCCCCGCGTTCTATTCCCGCCCCCTTCGATCACGGCGTCCAATCCCCTCTGTCCGTTCGATCCCCAGGCCTCCGTCTCCTTTCGCCCGGCCAGATTCTCCACCATTTGGTGGCTCGCATTCTGTGCAGCTTGTTCGGAACCCGGGTTCCTGGGCTCCCCACTCAGGGCATTGTCTTATTCTCCTGTCTCTTGGGGGAACAAGGCTCAGCTGGGAGGTCGCAGCCCACCCCTGGTGCATCCTTAATGTCTAGCGCGTAGGGTGCCAGCCCTTTCACGCCAGGGAGGGCGGAGGGATGTTTGGAGGTCGGGACGGCCCCCCAAAACCACCCACAGAAAGTGCATGGATTGAGTTGGCAAGAAGGAGGCGCTCCCAGGCGCAGCAACTCACACCTGTAATCCCGTCACTTTGGGAGGCCGAGGCGGGTGGATCACGAGGTCAGGAGTTCAAGACCAGCCTGGCCAACATAGTGAAACCCCGTCTCTACTAAAAACACAAAAATTAATAAAAAATTAATAAAAAAAAAAAAACAAAAAGAAAAAAACACAAAAATCAGCCGGTCATAGTGGCACGCAGCTATAGTCCCAGCTCTCAGGAGGCTGAGGCAGGAGAATCGCTGGAACCCAGGAGGCGGAGGTTGTGGTGAGCCAAGATCCTCCCACTGCACTCCAGCCTGGGCAACGGAGAGACTTCACCTCAAAAAAAGAAAAACTAAAAAAAAGGAGGCACTACAGCGATTGGATTTAAGTTAGACAGTCAGTGGGACTTCCGTGAGGGAGAAGCAGCATAGAAAATAGAGAAGGGTATATTAGAGACCCAGCCCCGACTGAGTGGCCGAAATAGGTACAGAGAAGCAGGCACTAATGCTTGTTTATTCAGCTCTGGTCCACAGTGTTGTTTGTCCAGCCCAGTCACAGCCTGGGGAGGGGCTGGGGAAGATGGTCTCAGGGGCTGGAGTTAGGGGAGAAGAAACGTGGGGTAGAAGTGCCAATATACAGACAGGCAAACTGAAGCCGGGGAGGTGACCAGCTGTGCCTGAGGTCACCCAACGAGCTGGGCACTGTGCTGGCCCCTCACTGCAGGCCTGAGTCCTGGGAGCTGGGCCGAGCTTCTGCCTTGTGCAACCGCCACTGGCGCCCATAGCTATAGGGGTCCTGGGGCTCGAGGCTAGACTTTCCTGAGGGCTCCCTGGAGGAGGTGAGTGAATCCAGTGTATGAGCTCCAACAGGCGGTGAGTCCAGCGTACGCCCAGGGACCATACGTGCTCACGGTGCTGGAGGGCGTCCTGGTGCACTCCTGGCCTGGAGAGGGAGTGTGGGAGAAGACGGGGTTCAAACCAAATAGAGAGGTGGGGCGTGGTGGAGGTGGGCACCTAGCACTCCAAGACCAGCGGGGTGCGCTTACAGATCACCTGCCCATTCCACAGAGGAGGAAAACCATGGCCGGGAGGGTGTGCGAACCCTTTACGGTCTCCCTCCCGCCCTGTCCGACTGCCACCGGCCTTTCTCACCGGGCCGCAGAGTCCGGGTCCCCTTGGGCAGAGAAGGCGAGGAACAACAGCAGAGGAGGATGTGGGCAGTCATCATGGGCAAGGCAGGTCAGGACCTGTGGTCTGGAGTTGCAGCCACACCACCCCGCTCCCGTGCCAGCTGATGGTCTCTGTGCAGCTCTAGAGCAAGGAAACTGGGCTGGTCCCCACTTCTCAGGCAGGGAATACTGAGGCCAAAAATCTATGACAAGAGCCTGTCCCACGCCAGAGGGGCAGGATTTGAACCCAGGTCCCTGCCTCCCACACTGCAGCTCCGGGGCCGTCACTGGGTGTGCGAGTCATACCCGAGCTGTCTACGCCCCGGGAGGCCTGTGGAGACTTGCTACCTTTAAAGCCTGGGAAATAGGATGGGGCCACTGACACCCCCAAGTAGCTAAGCAGCTGGCTTCCACGAAAAGGGGTGAGGGTGGGGAAGCGCCAGCTCCACGTGTAGATGCAACCTCACTCTCACCCTGTCAGGAAGCAGTTTAGTAGACAGCAGACCCTGGAACCTCAGGGGGCAGGCAATGCAGGGAGAGTGCAGATGCCGCCCCGCTTGGTGTGGAGCAGGGGAGACTCCCAGCACACTAGGAAAGGCCAGGGGCTGCAGTTGCACTGAAGCAGGTGTAGCCAGGGCTGTCAACGTGGAGGGGGTCCTGGATCAACCAGGTCGTGTGAGTGTTGTGGAGGACCCACGACCCCGTGGCCAGCCTCCGAGTGGAAGGGTGGGCACAGACACCACGGCTGCAGCAGAGAGGCCTTATCTTGGCCTCTGGAGGGTGGGCAGGCCCCGCCACCTTACAGCTGCGACTCCAATGCCCCAGTCCTAAGCCCCAAGGCATTCTAGGGCAGGAAGCAGGGCCACACAGCTTTGAGGAATTCTGTCCTCCCCAGCAGACACCTCCAACCCACTCGGTGTCCCCGGCTGCAGAGGGCGGAGCACAGTCAGCCCTAGCTGGCCTTGGAGGGTCCCGAACAGGAACAATGTGAGTGCTAGGGGGAGGTGGGCAGGCTGTTCTGGGAAACTTGAGGGGCAGCTGTGCTGGAAAGCCAACCCCATCCTCCGCCAGGAAGGAGGCTCAGGGGCACCATGGGGACGGGGGGTGCAGCCCCAGGAGGAGGATGAAAGAGTTGGATGAAGACCCTGAGAAGAGAGCTGTGGAGGGCAGGGACCCCAAGAGGGGACCAAGAGGCCTGGAGACAGGGGGAGGGGAGACGCAGATCCACAGAATGGCAGCCAGCAGCAGGCGCCAAGGCCGGTCCCCCACTGCTCAGCCTGGCACCTCAGCACCTGCAAAGGGAACCCCAACCCGCTTTGCCCCCAGGAAGCAGAGCCAGACCCCAGCTGAGGATTTATTGGAGTAAATGCAACCATATAAAAACATAAGTTATGAAAAACACAGTCACGATGTGCCCTCCCCATCCCCCCGGCCCAGGCCCCTAAAACCCTCTTCTTCGGGAGGGAGAGGAAAGGGGAGCCCCAAAACCGCCTAGGAATGCTCAGCCCCTGGGCCCGTGCAGGGCGGGGAGAGCCGGGCCTCAGCGCATCCGGTAGTCGGTGGAGCAGGACAGCTCGCACAGCTGGCCCTTGAAGTCCAAGTCGATGGTGAAGTCCAGGTCCCGCTGTGGGAGAGGGGGGTGTGAGGGCGGAACCCCATCAGGAGGTGGCGGCAGGGGCCGCAGACCGGTCACGTGATGACGCGCCCTCCCCGAGACCCAGGTGGGCTCCGGCTTCCTGCCGTCTCCACGCTGCAGACCCCAACCGGGGATCCTGCCCGAGCAGCTGACCTGACCCTGGCAAGTGACAGCTCCACATGGACACCCTCAAGCCCACTAGGCTCACTCGACACAGAGCCCGGCTGCTGTCCCTTACCTTTGGGTTTCCCCATCAAGACGATTCCCATCAGCAATGGAGTGATTGCTTCTTTCGTAAAAAACAAAACCTTTCCCGAGCCCACTTCCTCCTCAGGCAAACTTTACAGTGAAACAAAACGGTCCAGCCCGCTGTCTCCGCTCCTCTACTCCCAGCCTTCCTGGAGACCCCCTATACCCTCCAGCATGTGAAGATGACTTGTCGCCGATGGTCTGGAGGCCACCTCCTCCCTCTCTGGTGTCTTTCCCAGCTGGCACCATGGTCCCTTGGGGGCCGCATGAGTCTTTGTAGGGGGCAGTCATGTGGATGTGGGACGTTTACCATCCCCTCTGTCCCTACCCACCAGATGCCAGGAGCACCCCTTCTCCCAAGTGACAACCATGAGTGTCTACAGATGGTAACAAACATTCTCTGTGGGGGGCAATGAACCCACCAAGTTGAGAATTGCTGCTGTCACGGGCTCAGGAGCATCCTGGGGTCCACACTCTGTGACTGCCCTGAGTGCCACCTGGCCTTGCACCCATGGGCCGGGACCCACACTTCTAGCCCAGACCGCTCCCTGAGACTCCAGGTTCCAGGCCTTCCGTCCTCCTGCTGCTCAGACCTGCCACACTGGACCTCTGCCTAGACCCACTCTCCTGGAAGCCCCGTCTTAGGTGATGGCAGCTCCTGCCAGGTGCTCAGGAGGAAAAAGAAAGGGGATCGGAAAACACACCAAACAGCTGCCTTTTTCCTCAGGCCTGACACTGGGCGAGGAAGCCCCGTGCACTCTGCTGAGGACCGCCTCTTGCCCTGCAGCCCACTCACAACACCTGTCTGCCCTGCTCCCAGCCTGACAGAGGCCACCTCCGACTGGCGGCTCCCTATCACTGATCCCCTTGTCTAGAGTGGAAGTACCAGGACGGCGAGGGTTTGGCCTGGGTCCCCAGGCCCAGCTTCTAGTAAATGCTCAAGAAATCCTGCTGTGTAGACAGGTGTGGGCTGAGGAGCTCAGGGACCTGGGAACAGGCAGAGGCACCTGCTCCCCCACCCCCATCTGCCCCCATCCGCCCCAGCTGCCCTCATCCCGTGCCCTCCCCGGCCCTGCCCGGGAGCCTCACGTTGTTCTTGGCGTTGGGCCGCATGCCGATGGTGCCGAAGATCTCCTCACCCGTCTTCACGGTCAGGTAGTCCTCCATGTAGAACACCGTTTGCTTCCAGTGCGTGTACGGGGACTCCGGGCCTGCGGGCGTGGCCGGGTCAGCCAGCCTCAGCCTGCTGGCCCCACCCCAGCCTTGGCCTCCCGTTCCCTGTGCTGGAACGCCCACCCCCATGACAGCTGACAGGAGTGCTGTTCGTGAGTCACTTCCCCGTCACTGACGTTTGGAGACAGGGACTGTGTCAGCCTTCTGTGGACGGGGAAACTGAGGCCCAAGGCCACGTGACAGCTACATGGCAGAGTTTGCACTGGAACATCCGTGTCCCCATGGCTCTCTGCCCGTTTCTGTCCCCCCCCACATGGGTGTCCCTGGCTCGGGGACGGCCCCAGCCCTGCCTGCCCCGCCTCACTGGTGGAGAAGCCGGTCCTCTTGTGGCAGCGTGTGAACTCGATGTTGAAGTAGGCCACCAGGGCATGCACGTAGTCATTCCGCTTCACTTGCAGGCAGAACGGCGAAGTGAAGGTCAGGTCTTCCACCTTGACAGTGTAGATGTCCACCTCCTGCAGGACAGGAGACAGCAAGCTCCCGGATGTGTCCCCAGCACGCATCATGCCCTCCTCCCTCCCTCAGCTCCCCGAGGGCCTGTGACCCTGTTGTCCCCTTCCTGCTGGCCACCCCCTCACCGGCGCCCAGCCTTGGCTCCTCATTCATTCCTCATCCTGCATGTCTGGCTCCCAACAAACTGCTGGGTTCAAGCCCAGATTCCTAGCTCCCTTCTCTCCCACACCCAAACCTGGCACTCTACCCTACCGCTGTCCAGAGCCTCCTCAGCCCTGACCCTACCGCCAGACCTCCTGGAATGCAGGTCCCCAGATCTGCCCTGTCCCCAACCCCTTGACAAGTCCACCAAGGTGGGGACTTCAAATAGCAACCCAAACGCCGACCTCAAACCCTGCGCCAGCTCCCCGGCTCTCAAGAGGGTGGCCCCAGTGGGGTCCCTGCCCCTCCAGTCTCCTCTCCTCCCCGGCTTAACAGCTCCCTCCTCCCCGCCAGGAACCCCCCGCCAGCCACCCAGCTTCACCCAGCTCGAACATCCCAGCTCAACAAACAGTCGCTGTCGCCAAGTCTCAGAAGTAAAAAAGTAAAAAAGAAAACACGGTGGCCCAGGCTGGAGTGGTGACGTGATACAGCTCACTGCAGCCTTGAACTCCCAGGCCCAGGCGATCCTCCCGCCCAGCCTCCCGAGCAGCTGGGACCACAGGCGCGTCTGGGACCACAGGCGCGTCTCGGAGCCTGCCCATCCCCTGGGCTCCTCTGCAGTGGCCCGTGTGCCTGTGTACCCGCTCGTCGCCCTGGTGTTCTGCCTTCCCGTGCACAGGTCTCATCGGGCTTTAGCTGCCGGCTTCGGAGGAGGCAGGGCCAGCCTGCCTCACCGCCAGACGCCAAGTGCCAAGCCTGGCTCTCCCACAGCAGCGCGCACCAAGATAGTTAAAGGACAAAGTGGCTTTGCTGGGCCTCTAGCACCCCTCTGGCTGGCAGGTCAGGTTCTGAGACCTCAGGCCAACACTCTGGGCCCCAAAGCCCTGCACCAGGGCCAGGGGATGGCCTCTCTTTGGTTTCGATGTAGGGCACCTGGCACACCCACCCCCTCACCTTTATGAGGCAGGCGTTGGTGACCAGCTGTTTTGGGTCCACCACGTCCACTAGGGGCTCCTTGATGGCCACATCTTTGATGCAAGACATGTCGAAGCCATACACATTCTCCCACCCTGGGGAGGCAGGCAGGGAGGGGTGAGCCCGCAGCAGCCTGCCCCGGCCCCGCCCGCAGCTCCCGGGCGCGCACTCACAGTGGATCTTGTAGTCTTTGTACTGCCGGTCCTCGATGGCCGTCACGTACAGCGTAGCTCGGTCTGGGAAGATGAGGCCATCGGGCGCCTGCAGAGGGCAGGGTGAGGGTGGGGCCTGGCAACACTGCCCCTAGTTTTGCCTCAAGACGTGGCCTCCTGCCCTGGTCTCAGCCACTTCACCATGCAGCTGCACTCACCCCCACACCCCCTGGTCTATTTCCCACACGGCCGGCTGCCAGAGGACCCTCAGGTACATCTCAGTCAGCTCCTGTCCCGCAGAGGCTCTGGGGAGCCTTAGAACCTCCCTGGCTGCTCTGAGAGGAAAAGCAAATTCGCACCATCACCCTGCCACTGTCTAGCTCCAGGGCCTGTCACACCTGGCAGCCAGCCCCTACAGGAGTCCCGTCTGTGGGAAAAATCGAGCCTGGTTTTCATCTTCTGCCTGGACCCCAGCCCACGCGAGCTGCGCCCGTCCCGCTGGGGGCCTCACCAGCCACTTGTCTCGGGCATAGAGCACGGTGTTGAGCATGGACTCATAAAAGAGGCAGTAGCCCATCCACTCGCTGATGATGATGTCCACCTTCTCCACCGGGAGCTCCACCTCCTCCACCTTCCCCTTGATGATGGTCACCACTGCAGGAAGACAGGGGCGGCCCGTCAGTCCCCCTGGAGGCCTGCCCCTGACTTCCCCCGGGGGCTAGAGCCTGGGGACCCCACTGGGTTCAGAGAACTTAGTGAGTGGAAGCCACAAACCGTCTTTTTTTTTTTTTTGAGATGGAGTCTTTCTGTCGCCTAGGCTGTAGTGCAGTGGCACCATCTCGGCTCACGGCATCCTTCACCGCCTGAGTTCAAGAGACTCCCCTGCCTCAGCCTCCTGAGTAGCTGGTACTACAGGCGTGCGCCACCACACCCAGCTAATTTTTTTTGTATTTTTGGTAGTGATGAGATTTTACCATGTTGGCCAGGATGGTCTCAAACTCCTGACCTCGTGATCTGCCTGCCTCAGCCTCCCAAAGTGCTGGGATTATAGGCGTGAGCCACCTCACCTGGCCGCCACAAACCCTCTTAACTCTGTTTTATTTTATTTTATTATTATTTTTTCTTTTTTATAAATGAGACGGGGCTTTACCATGTTGGCCAGGTTAGTCTTGAACTGCTGACCTCAGATAATCCACCGACCTTGGCCTCCCAAAGTGCTGGGATTACAAGCATGAGCTACCACGCCCAGCCTTAACTCTTTTAAAATTCACACGTCGCTCTGGACATTTT